CACCCCTCCCCCCGGGGCGGGCGGGCGCCTCTCGCCCCGCCGTACATCGGCCGAGCTCCTCCAGCCCCTCAGCCTGCTAGCCTCCTCGTGCCCCAGCGGACACCGAGCCTACCAGAAGCATCAGCTAACAGAGTTATTTCTGGATAGCTGTGCTGTTAATATCTTCAACTGCTAACTTGCCACAAGTCCAGGAGATGCACCAGGGAGGCAACCCCTCCACCCAACCCAAACAGCCCAGCAAAATACAGCCCAACAACATGGCTGCTTGCCCCGCCTTGAGCAGAAGTACTTCCACCCCACAGGCACCACCTCAGAGAAATCCAGACACCCTCTAGGACTTGCAAACTGGATTTTTAGATACTTGCAAATTATTGCTGATCTTTACAGTGGAGAAATCCAGGATGTGCCACCCCCAGACAGTAACAGCACCAGTAAGCTGAAATTCCTATGGAAACTCTTCCCCCTTACTCCTTCTCCTTTTCAGCATCCAAAACAATTAATCAACGTATATGTGTATATATTTATGCATAAAAATACATAAAAATACATTCCTCTCCCCACAAATCTCCCTGTTTATAGCTTTTAGACCTTGGCAGGTATAAAAATGGTACAAGCAATTTTAAGTTCACAGGAAAGACAATCGCCACGGTACTTTTGTTTTGTTCGGTGAAGTATATAACATCGCTAATGCATAAATACTTAGGACCAATGATTTAGCTGTCTCATTCTAGTGTTTCCACGGAAGGGCTTTTAGCAGTTGCTTCAAGAACAAAACTAGAATTGTTACTTTATGAATGTAAATAGTAGAAAGAATTAGTCATTTTACACTTCTTCACACACAAACAGATGACACATTACCAAGAAAATCTGCCTGGAAGACAAAACAGTCAGCATGTGATCACATAGAATTAGGAGAAGACATATAAACAACACAAATATAATTCTGATTTAATGATTATTTTTAAAAAAACTTCCTAGATTTACAGTAAGCCCTTTTTTGAGTGCCTGAGGATCTTAACAGATGCTGAGTTGCCTTCAATTTTCATCAAAATTGGCTTAGAAGTGATGCACTAAAGCAAAAAAAAAAAAAAGCCTGAAAACAGCCAAGTTCCAATATCCATCCCCTAGAAATTTTATAATGCCAATCGAAGGTACGAATAAGACTTGAATTCCATCCCCTCCGTTGCCATATGGCCTTCCATTGCATGACCACATACCTTTTCCTCCCCCCACAGGATTTCCACCTTCCCCGGTGCAGAGGACGGTGCTGCGCAGGGCACGAGCTGCTACACCGGCGGTGCATGGTAGGGTGCTGGTGCACACACATGCAGGGCAGGACCCAGCAGTTTCCTCCTCGCTCTGCGCAACCCTTGGCGGAGAAAGCACCGAGAGCATGGGAGAGGGGCAGCCTCCCTCCTTCCCTACTCTCCAATGCCAGACTGAACATGGTATTCAGCAAGATAATTTTTTTTAACCTAATAAATCCATGATTTTACCAAAGGAAAAAAAAAAATTCCTCTATTTATGGAACTGTAATATTTTCCCCAGTTTCAGCAAACATATTGTGCCATACATTATTAATTTTCTTTACAGACCTAAATAGTGACGACAACTATTGCAGACTCAGACTATAGTTGTACAAATAAACCCTAAAATGTAAAAAGCAGAATATTTGTACTGTGATAACAGATAGTCTATTTGTATATATCAAAATTATTCAAACCCAGTTCAAATACATGCAAACAACAGTTTAGTTTTCATATGTCAATGCACCATAATTAATAGCCAGCCCCATGCAAAGAAATGGAAGCGAGGAACGACAAAAACCACAGAAGCAAGCGCTCAGAACATTGCAGAGCTGCTGCCATGCAGTTCACGTCCTTTGTCTAAATGGCCAGAAATAGCCAAATCCAATGCTTATACTAACCCTCTCCCTCAGTTTTCAACAGATGTTTGGAAACATTAACCTCTTTCTAAACTTTCCCTTGAGAGCAACTGCAGATAAAAGATCTTTTCTGCTCTAAAAAGCAGGTGATCATGAGAGAAAGCCAAGAGTTTCTCTTGGTGGCCACTCTCCGGTAGCTTTCTCCTGCTCCACAAGCAGTTTTTCTATTTTAATTCATCCATGTCTACAAGACCCATTTCCACTTGAGACACCTGCCCTATCTGGAAGGGTATAGGTCTTTTGCTGGAAATCCAACCACCTACACAAGCAGCCGTTGATGTGGGGAGTCACTTGACTCATCAGATTCCTCGCTTCGTGGCAAACACATTGATTAACCACCAGGACCCCTCTGCTTTCAAGCTCTGCTTCACCATCACTCACAGTTCGGAGATAACACGGACAACGTCCGACGTATCTTTCCAGATAAGTTAACTGTTCTGTCATATCTTATCAGGAAGCTTGTTTTTTTTTCCCCCATAGATCCTTCATATTCTTTTAACCGCTTTGAGGCCTGCGGTGGTCCTCTAAGTCCATAACATGTTTCAGCAAAAATTTTGTGGAAGGTCTAGTCCAAGCAGACACAGCCTGTCTTGCAGACAGCCAGATGTTAACACCGTAACATCAATTTATTTCAGCTTATGTGCAATACTTCGCATTTTTCTCTCCTTAGTTGTTCTCAAACTCCACGATTATGTTGTTCCCTAATGGTTTGGCTTTTCTTGTCATCATACCTCCGTATTTGCCACCTTACTGCCTCCAGTATCAACTGCTGATAAGAAACTTAAAGTTTTTTCCATGCACTTGATTAATTATCACTCATACAAGCCATTTTATAATAGGCTAACTGTTTTTCTATGCAATTCACTGCATATTTTCACCCTTAAGCCATTAGCAACCTTCAGCTTACTCTCAACTGAGTCCTTTGCAACCTGGCCTCAGGCAACCGACATTGCTTGGAAGTTCAGTCAGAGAAACAGAATTCATAAACCATCTGCAAATTTTAAAAACTATCTTTGTTTTTGTCTGCACTTACCCTCACCTGCCTTTGACAGCTTCCCTCCCATCACCAGTGGGCAAGGGAAACTTTTGATATGCTGCCGCTTGGAAACAAGAGCTCAGTATTACCCGCACCTTCCTCCCTGGAGCTCACACTTGAGGTCTGATCCGGCTTTACTCCTTCCCTGCTTCTCAGCAAGCACTGGCCTTCCCGCTCACTCTCCTCTGAGTTTTCAACACCTAATAGCCCAACTGTTTCCATGAACTTCTTCAAAGGCACGAGCTGGGTCACAGAGCAGTTTTCCCTTGCTCAATTTGAGATATGCTCGCTCGCCGAGCGCAGCAGCGCGGTGCTGTGGCAGCCCTACTCTGGCAGACCGAGACAGGTGCTACTTTGACCAGGGAGTTTGGTAATCTTCCTGCAAAAACCGTAAGCCATTTCTTGCTTTGGTTTCTAAGCAGAAGCTTTATTAAACAAAAAAAGGAAACCATTTTAGTTTCTGTTTTGAAGTTGTCAAGACAATGGTATATATTTAGGTTGAGGGTTTTACTTCTAAGTTAAAGTTCTTGCTTGATTCATTATTATTATTATTTAAGTGGTGAAGTTTAATACTCCATGTGACAGCTAAATGATTACCACAATTAATATTTTCAGCAGTATATTAATAATTTTTCATTGCAAAAGCCATCTCAGTCTTCCTATAGAAACTTGTATTTGGTGCTATCTTGTCATAACCAAGCTGCTAGTCCTGAACTCCACAGGCCCCAGTCAAGACCATGCGTTGCAATGGAAGTCCTGCCCAAATTAAAGCATGCTCAACATCGGCACAGATTTTGAGGAATTTAGAGAAATTTTTCTTTATTCTTTACAGAGGATGTGCACACTGCAATTTTTCAATAGCTTAGGCCTTAACTTATCTGCAGTCAATTTTTGTTGTGCCCAAAAGCACATCCTGATAAGATGCTCACGTTGCAGTCAAACTTCAGTCTTCTCCAATTTCAGT